ATGTATTTGTATGTTTTAGGATTTTATTTTATTTTTTTGACAATTAATAGGAAAAAAAAATATTTTTTTTTTAAGCCATGATACCATATTTGAACTGTACATCATGATAGTAATGCTGAAATATTTCCACAGCTGAGACTTCTGTACGATGTCTGCGGTCAGTGTGTAATAATTTTGATATGCAATGCTCAAAGTGCTTTCTCTCCTGAGGGTTGATGGGTGTTTGTTTGGATGACATCCCATTCTATGTCAAAGCATTTAATCTGCTTCATTGCACATAGATGCCCTAATCTGCTTTGCTGTAAAATTTTATGATGTTGAAAATATGAAATATACCACAGGTTTGCAGAAATGTGGTTTTAAAATAACAAAATCCTCTTTGCAAGTTACATAGTACTATCAAGAAAATGTTTAGATTTATGGTGCACCTCTTGTTAAGGGGATAGTTGATCAAAAAAATGTAAATTCTGTCATCATTTACTCACTCTCATGTTGTTCTACACCTGTATGAATTTCTTTATTCTGTGGAACATAAAATCAGTATGTTCGCTTTTATGATATTTTGTGGTTCTATTTTGTCATTTCTGAGCTTGACGGCCTCAGTCCTCATTCTTTTCGTTGTGTTGGAAAACAAATTGCCAGGATATTAAAAAAAATTATCTATTGTATTCATATGGGTTTGGAATGACACATTTTACACGAAATATCCCTTTAAATATTGAAGTATTTACTTTATGATAAACAGATGTAATGCCGTTGCCTTTGTGATGCCACAACAAGATGCAACAAAAGCAGATGGGATCTATGAATAGACTATGGACACGGATCTGTCCTGCTGGAATGGTGTGACTCCATGCTTCAGTTCCCCCATATACTCCCTCATGGGCTTCAATGGCTTTGGCCTGTTACCCATCAGCCCCCTTCACCACCTGTCCTCGTAATGGAGAAGGTCCATGTCTTTCTAGCCCACTGATCTCCAGTTACATTAAAGCAGGACAACAGCTCGGTTCCAGAATATGAAACATGCCCTTGATTTTTAACACTTGACATCATTGATTAGAAAGCTCCCATTTATAGAACAATATGCAATGGCAGCGGGACCCGTTTGAGACCAGGCTACGCTCTTAGGGACTGTGATGGATGAAGCCATTTTGGCATTTATCGTCCTGTCTTCCAATCAACTCGCTCCGTTCTGCCTGGCAGTAGACTTTGATTGTCTCAGCTTACCGACCCAAGTCATTACCGTATACGCAAATCTTCTTAGGCCGGCAACAAGCATACTTAAGTATCTAGAGCTTTCAGAGTTCATTGCTATCCCGTTCACAGGAAGTGCAGTCATTAGGACGATGGGTTGGAAGTACAGCCAGAGCCCCCTTCACATCTTCTCTCTAGCTGCCTGTTAATCAGGACAATCCCATATGTTCTAACTGTCGGAGCAGGTGGCTATCTGTTGGAGAATAGGAATTCAATGTGACCGCTTACAGAATCTGCACACACATACACGCATTATGCAGAAAATCATTTTTAATTAGAATGTCTTTTTTTGGGGGGTAAAATATATTAATACCCAGTTAAAGTTTCTTGATTTTGTTCTTGCTATATATTGTGTAATTGCCTATCTAACCATCCATCTTTATTTTAGATATTTGGTGTAATTATGGATAGATCACCAGATTCTATCTATCTATCTATCTATCTATCTATCCCTATCTAGTCAATTCATAAATGTACAATGTGCCAGAATTAGCCAGAAGGCTATTTTTAAAATTGTCACCCTAAAAATATAAAAGAAATAATCTATACATAATACATACATACTCCAAAATACATATAAAGTTTATGCTATACATATAGTTCTATCCCAATACAATAAAAATCTGCTTAAAAATTAGGCTATACATAGAACCAACAAATCAACACCAGCTCACTCATACACACACAATCCCACTATCAGACAATATGACAAACAATGTACCAATAATATTAATATACAGGCAAGGATAATGTAAGCATACTAACAAGTAACAGTAGTTTAGCCTTAAACATTCAATCAGTACTAAACCAACCATGCTCATATACATAACATAAAATTCTCAAACTGGTAGAGCAGAAAAGACAAGACGGCAGCAGAAATTAGTGTATAAAGTAATGTTGACAATGTTGACTCTCTGTTAGCCACTTCTTTAAGTGAAACTTAAAAGAGGCATAAGTATTCAAATTTGTAATGTGAGTTGGGATGGAGTTCCACCCACAAGCATCCCTAACCGAAAACGCCGTTTGACTGAATGCACTTGTTCTTAACGGGACTATGCAGTCACCTCTTGCTGCACTTCTTGTTTAACCAGTTGGTGCTATGTTTACAAACTGGCTCAATACCGGAGCAGCCAGTCCATGTTTGATTTTATACATGAGACAAAGATCTGTATATGTAATCAAATTTTACCAACTTAAAAGATTGTATTTTTTAAAATATGGCATTGATGAATATCTGTCTATCTATCTGTCTGTCTGTCTATCAATCCATCCATCCATCCCTCCAGATAATTCTACACAATCTATCCATCATCCGTCCATCCCTGCAGATAATTCTACACTATCTATCCATCATCTGTCCATCCCTGCAGATAATTCTTCACTATCCATCCCTGCAGATAATTCTACACTATCCATCCATCCCTCCAGATAATTCTACACTATCTATTCATCCATCATCCCTTCATCCCTCCTGATAATTATACAATATCCATCTATCCCTCCAGATAATTCTACACTATCTATTCATCCACCCATCCCTTCAAACCTCCAGATAATTCTGCACTATCCAGCCATCCCTCCAGATAATTCTACACTATCTATTCATCCATCCATCCATCCCTTCATCCCTCTAGATAATTCTGCACTATCTATCCATTCCTCCAGATAATTCTACAATATCCATCTGTCCAGATAAATCTACAATATCCATAATCCATCTAGGCAATTCTACACTATCCATCCATCCATCCATCCAGGTAATTCTACACTATCCTTCCATCCATCCATCCATCCATCCATCCAGATAATTCTACACTATATATATCCATCTGTCTGTCCAGATAATTCTACAATATCCATCCATCCATCCATCCATCCAGGTAATTCTACACTATCCAATCCATCCATTTAATTTTACACTAATCTGTCTGTCTGCCTGTCTGTCTGTCTATCATCAGTAGAGTACTTTGTTCACATTTACTTGTGCTTTTGCAACATTTTGTGCAGATGTAAGTTGCAATATTATGTTTATGTTGTTTGTGACTAATCTCATATAAGATGTGTTTGGGTGAGTTAATTAACCCATTAGGAAAGGGCTGAAGCTTTATGTAAGAGAGTGAGAAAGGGACAGAGAGAGCTCGCAGCACCCTAGAAGCCCTGCACATTTCTAATTTGGTCCTCCGGCTAAAGGATTTATGATTAATGTCCACAAGTCACTATATTGTATGACTCCATCCACGTTATGTTCCCCGAGATAAAAATAAAGTAAAGAGCTGTAAAAGTCGATTAATCACGTTATTAATCATCTCATATTGACTTGCCAACAGTCATGGATGGCAGTCGAGAGAAGGGCTGCTGTGATTTTCTTTTCTGAAACGTTAAGCAAGCTAAATAATTCAAAGCTGCCCAAGAGAGTTGAGTTGAGTTGAGTTGAGTTGAGTTGAGTTATGTTATGTTATGTTATGTTATGTTATATGTTATGTTATGTTATGTTATGTTATGTTATGTTATGTTATGTTATGTTATGTTATGTTATGTTATGTTATGTTATGTTATGTTATGTTATGTTATGTTATGTTATGTTATGTTATGTTATGTTATGTTATATGTTATGTTATTTTAGAGGGACTTAAACTTGCCTCACTAAATGCACACCCTTGTACACTTTAAAAAATATTTTTCTTAATTAGCATTTTTGTCTTTTTTACAGTAAAAAATATAATACAAGATACATGTTTCTTGTTGTAAGCATAAATCTTTTCTAAACTTGGTTTTACATTTACAATTACAATTACAATTATTGTTTTATAATTATCATTACTGAAAATATTTATCTTGTATATAAAAATCTTTAGAAAGAAAAAAAACAAGTAAGGAACATCAATGTATGTGTTTACAAAAACAGCTAGATTAAATAAGAGATAAATCCATCCAAGATGGCTGCCAGAAGAGAGAAATGTTGATTGCCATACATGTTTTAAAACAAGATGCATTTATCTTTTATAAAGATAATAATAATTGTTTTTAGATAATCTTGCATTAATAAGATATTTTTCTTACCCCATTGGCAGATAGTTTTTTAAACATACTATAACAAAATTTAGTGAGATTTATGCTTTAAACAAGAAAATTACCTGAATTCTAAATAGATTTTCTGAGAACAAGTTTTAATGTCTCACTCAATTTTATAGGTTTTCAGTAAATGTATCTTGTATTAAGATATTTTCATTGTAAAAAAAAAAGACAAACGTGCTGATTAAGAGTATTATTTTTATTCTTACTATAGAAGTGTTGCGCTGTTAGCTTTGCAAGATGTTAACGACAAACTCTATTGAAATTAATTGCAAATCGAGTGTTCTGTGCAAAAATAGTGTTCCAAAATCGGTCATTTAAAATATTCCATGACATGATGCTCTCTTAGAAGGAGCTCCCTTATGCAGCGAGGCAGCCTGCTAGGCTTGTTTCCCCGTAAATTTTATTTTTTTCTAAATTTTTCCTCTGTTTCAAATACCTTGAGAGCAATTTACTACAGCGCATTATCATTAATGCTGATTAAATACCAGTGCGTGTCATTAGGTTTGCAAGCTTAATGCAGCTGCCTCTAATGCCTTCAAGTATTTAAAATCTTGGCTCGACAAATGAAATCATACGCTTATTTTTTGTATTTCCTCTAGTGCATTTCCACCTATAAGACAAAAACGGTAGATGTTTATGATTTTGCACCATAACATCTTTTTTCATTACAGATGAAGCAAGACTCGAGGCATCAGGGCAACCCCTCAGTCCTTCCCAGGATCCAACCGGAGCCCCAAACATCACAGTCTCTTCGTCGCTGCTGGAGGATGAAGACTTCGCCTCGCTGTACAACTCCCCACCAGCGAGGGCAGAAAGCACAAGGGAGCAGCCTGTGTTTGCCTCGGTGCAGACCCTGCAGGTTGTAGAGACACAGCCTCAGGCGCTGGTGCATTCTCTGCCCTCCCCACCCGGCAACAGTGACAATCGCACCAATCAAAAGTCCGCTGGGGAGCAGGCCGTCAGAGTGCCAAATCCACCGTCCCCGGCACATAAAATCAACAGTGTCTTGACCACTAGCTCAGGTACCGCTAGATTGTGAGCTGTTGAATAAATGCTGAGTACAGAAATCAAGAAGTGGTGTATTTAAAGGGGTTTCTTTTCAGGGACTTTGCTGATTTGATGTTGTCATCATCCTTTCTTCACCATTTGTTCATCATCACCGTCATCATTATTTTCAAGGTCATTGTGTTTGCTGTTATCGTAATCATCATCATCAACATTTTTTACAATAATCTCTTTAAAGTCAACATGAAATTGCATTCACATCCCATTTTACTTGCGCAACGTGACGTATTTCTGAGTAAAAAGTGAATATATTTAGGACTTTATCAGGATTTGATTGGATTGTGAAATATTAGACTGATATTATTGGTTAATGTTATATATTGTTTTAAAGAAATTAATACTTTTATTTATCAAGGATGATTAAAGTGTTTAAAAGTAACAGTAAAGATATTTTTAATGTTACAAAAGATTTCTATTTCAAATAAACACTGTTCTTTTGAACTTTCTGTTCATTAAAGAATCCTGAACAAACATATATCACAGTTTCCACAAACATATGAAGCAGCACAGCTGTTTTCAACATTGATGATATAATAATAAATGTCTCTTGAGCAGCAAATTAGCTTATTAGAATGATTTCTGAAGGATCATGTGACACTGAAGACTGAAGTAATGGCTGCTGAAAAATCAGCTTTGCATCACAGGAATATTAAAATAGAAAACAGTTATTTTAAATTGTAATAATTTTTTTTTTTACTGTATTTTTGATCAAATAAATGCAGCTATTGTGAGCATTACTGACCCTTACTGACCCTTTTTGAGCAGTGGTATTATTTTAGTATCATTGAGATACTATTATAGTTTTTATTTATATTTTCAATCAGGTTTTATTTGAATATTTTCTGTTTTCATTAGAATTTTTGTTAAACTTTTTAAATGTTTTTTTATTTTTTTTATTGCAGTTTTAGTTAAGTGCACCAAATTACACTAAATTAAACTAAATCAGAAATGCTACCTTGGTAACTAGCTGAAATAAAAAACTTTTTTTAATATGTATATTATAACCCTAATAATCCTGATTTGGTCAACTTTGATTTCATGTTGACGTTAAAGCTGAAGTATGTAATTTTTGCGCATGGCATTTAGCCCAACCTCACACCATTGCCTCTCATTGAAACTGTTTGTCTGATCAATGGAAAATTAAATCATTATCTTCGGTTATATTTGGTTTGATGACACTAGTGGCGCAAAAATTATACACTTCAACAAGTCCCGCTACTGCATAAGTCCCCAGAGCTACATCTGTCCTCTCCCACATGTCCTATGTGTCATTCTTCACCATCAGCGAGCGATCATGTGTGTCCTCGATCTCACTTCCTGCTCCTGAGGTGGCTCACTCAAACGTTCTCTGCTTTCAGACGAGACTCTTAGTGAATTCCCCAGAAACCCTGATCTTCCCACCGCCCCGGGATCCTCTTTCATGATTGTGGCAGAGACGGATGCTACACTCACTGACAATGTGACAACTTCGGTCTCCTTTTCCGCTTTTAACGGCACTTCTGAAAGGGCTGAAAACGCTTCGTCCGGCTCTTCAGCAAGCAGCAACTCCCACACTGTGACCAGCGACAGTCTCCAACTCACCACAGTGACCACCACGACTGTCACGCCCTTAACTGTGACATCAATGACTGTGACTCCGCCCACTGCCATCGTTGTGGTGAAAGAGGTCACGACCACCATGCCGACCACTACAGCCACCCAGACCACAACAACCGAGACGGAACCACCGACGACAGCCACCACTACCACTACAACTACCACCACCACAAAAGTAGCACCAACAACCACAAAAACACCTACAACCACTTTAGCAACCACAACAACGACAACCCCTCTTCAAACCACTGTTGTATCTACCTCTGGAAGTACCACGAATGAACCGAGCACCCCTCCTACTGACAGTTCACCTTTGACCTGTAACGTGACCGAAAGATTATGGGTGAAAACAGGTGAGCCCCTGTTTACTGTATGAGTGCCTCCTCGTTGTTTTTAGTGAAAATTCACTAAAGAAATTAGGCAAATTTAGTAATGGCACAAATACGCCACAAATCAGTGTAAATCAATGCAGTTTACATTCCATTACAGAAAATTTAGTGGCTTGTTAAGTTGAATTGTAGATTTTGCATTGAAATAATGTTTAACCGATAGTATAGACAGTAAAACATATCATCATACCTAGACATAAACAGTTTTTGTGGGAAAACATTTGTTGCATTTTAAGCAAAACCAATCAGGACACCTATTTTTACAGTTACCCTGATTTCGCATGTGAATGCTCTTGTTTTTTTTTTTTGTTTTTTTGCTTTTGTTTGTTTACATTTTGAGAAATTAATTCATCATTTTATTAAATAATAAAAATATAAAGGAAACATTTTTTTTCCAGAAAGTTATTTAATGGATGTTAATAAAAAGGTCTTATCAGGAAAAAAAAAGATTTTCTATCACAATTTAAACACAATTTAGATTTAAATTAAAAGAAAAATCTTTTGTACAGTGCTTTATTTATTATTTATTATTTGTCATACTTTAAACTATCAGTTCTTGTGATGAAAATAGGTTTGGCTATGGCATGGCATAAAAATAATATAATATAAAATAAAAAAATATAAGTTATATAAAATAAGTATTCAAAATAATAAAAATGAATTATTAATATAATGGTTTTTTTTTTTTGGTTTGCAGTGTTTTGTGCATGTAAGCACACTTAGATATTAGATAGTTAGTCTAGCACACTTAGCCTAAAATATTTCAGTCTTTTTAATTAGATTTTAATTGTATTTTAAAAAATAATCAACAGGTATGGAGTTCAAATGAAAATTAAATAACAAAGGCATTTTGACATTTAAATTATGCTCAGTTCATTACAACAGAGAAAAATGACAAAACCAGTTTACAAATGCACATCTACTTAATCGTGTGAAAGACTTTATTGTGCAAATAATATTAGGCTACCATATGCAGTAATTTTACTCCTCCTCTCCGACATTCTACAGTGACAGCATATGCACTGTAGTGAAACCAACATATGTTCACTGTAAACAGACATGTTCACAGGCATGGCTGTCTCCCTTGGGATCTGGGCTGCTTTGAGATGCTTAGAAAATCATGCTTTTCATATGTGTTGTATAAATTTTTCCCTCAGTGTTGTCCATCCAGATGCGACAAAATCGCCTAGAAGCTGAAATGAGACAGAACCTGTCTAAAGGTTTCACACAGGCACTTCAGAGAGCGTTCAACGACAGCAACGTCCATGTTCAGGTTGGTGGTTTTGCATGTGTTTTGAGCCGTAAGCCACTACGCAGTGGCTTTGGCCGTTAATAAGAAGGAAAACACCTGCTATAGAAGTTCAAAGGTTTGGGGTTTGTAAGATTTTTTTATGTTTTCGAAAGAAGACTCTTATGCTCACCAATGCTGCATTTATTTGATCAAAAATACAGTAAAAACTGAAATGTTATTACAATTTAAAATAACTATTTTCTATTTGAATATATTTAAGATGTCATTTATTTCTGTGATGCAAAACTGAATTTTCAGCAGCCATTACTCCACTGTCACATGATCCTTCAGAAATCATTCAGATAATCAAGAAACATTTCTTATTATTATCAATGTTAAAAACAGTTGTGCTGCCTAATATTGTGAATATTTTGATACATTTTTTTAAAGGATTCTTTGATGAATAGAAAGATCAAAAGAACAACATTAATTTGAAATAGATATCTTTTGTAACATTATAAATATGTTTTTTAAAGGGCAAATGAGGTAGGTTATCCAAGATTTAATGCATAATTTAAAAATAATTTGCTTACTATGCACAGTATACAGACCATAAACTGCAGCAATAATAACAATGGTAGTAAGCTTATCCAAACCCTTTTCTTTCTCTTCCACTGCAACATGAAATGAGAAATGCTAAATAAATAATGAAAAGAACTAATCAGAATAGTTGGTTGCCATTGGAAACACAGTAAAATATGCCTTATACAGTAGAATCCAGCAGCATCAAGATAAGCACAGTGCTTTTGACCACAGTCCTCTTGGACCTTATCACAGTTGCATCATGGGAATTGTAGTTTAGCAGAGGACAGTGTGGTGGGAGGCTGTGTGGGAGGTGTTTCCTGTGTATGTTCAGTATGCAGCTCATTGAATGTGATTGTGTAGAACATCTCCCTGTTTTCAAGCGCTGAGAAAGGGCCATCTTATGAAACACTTGGTTTGAAGCCGAAGGAGCATTTGCACGTCTGTCCGTCAGAAAGGCATGTCCAAAAATAGCACAGCGCTGGTACCTCATATGCTGCAAATAAAGAATCGATATCATGGTAACAGCAGAGACAACATGCTGAGGGGAGTGCAGTCGATTAAATAGAGTATTTTAAGGAACAATTCGCTCAAAAATTGACATTCTCTCATCATTTAATCACCCTCATGTCATTCCAAACTCTCATACAAGTCATGCAAGTCTTATGGGTTTGTAATGACATGAGGATGAATAAATGATGACCAAATTTGCATTTTTGGGTGTACTGTCTCTTTAATTGTGAATAACCACTGAAAAGGTTGTTATTAGCATTTGAAGAGCAACCGTCTGTGTCTATTAAGCTCTGTACCGAATGACTCAATCTGTTCTCTTCAAGATCTGTCTCTATATTTGTCTTTTTCGCTCACTATGTGATTTTTTTTCCCTCCTCTTTCTCCTCCTCCTCGTCAACTTTCCATCAGATCAGAGGTTCTGTATGATTACAGACCCTGGAGGTGATCAGCAGGAGACGACACAATCACTATCTACACACGAACACAGAAAGAGAGATAGTGTGTGTGTGTGTTTATGTTGGAGTAAAAAGAGAGAGATGGTCAGTCAACTTGACTCAATATGATTAAATTTATTCATGTGGGATATGTATTAGCATTTGCCTCAAGCGATTAACAATAAACAAAGCCAGTAAGAGCATTTGTGTGAATATAGCACTATGAATAAAAACAGCATATGATTTCAGTAAGGCTAAAAACTCTAAATATTGATACTGTTTACATTTTTTACACACACAGTAGTTTTTAATTTTAACCTATCCAGCAGTTTGCATGCATCATGGGAGAATTTAGCATATTTTTCTGAAGGTAAACTACAATCCCACCACAGTGTGTCTTTTCCATCACGTCTCAGTTGATGAATTGTGTTAGTGTTCTGTGAAGGAAGTTATATTTGTTGAGTAAAATAAAATGGCTGAATTCTTTTGTCTTGCTAACCCTAATTTCATAGATAGAATTGTATGTATCCTAAATACACACAATTAAATAATATTAGTCAAAATTTGTAACAATAAAATAATAATAATAAAAAATGTACTTTTTTAATTTTAATTTTTTTAGAATAATTCTCACAAAATAAATATTGGAACTGATTATGATTATTTCATTATTTGTTTAGATTATTGTAGTTTAAAATGTAATAATTTATAGTTTTTATAAGGGATTTTCATATAAGACTTAAAGTCTGTATCTGAAGGTAAAACTAAATCTTAGTTGAAGAAATATTCACCCATTTATTTATTGTTTAATAATTTTAAATATGCTGTTTTATGATATTAAATGAGACTATATATAAGGCTATAATATAATGTTTTTGAAAGAAGTCTCTTATGCTTACCCATGCTTATGCTTTTTTGCTTTTTTTATGCTTTTTTAAAATTCTATTATATTTTAAAATGTAATTTATTCCTGTGATGCAAAGCTGAATTTTCAGCATCATAACTCCAGTCTTCAGTGTCACATGATCCTTCAGAAATCATTCTAATATGCTGATTTGGTTCTTTAATACTTTTGTGGAAACTGTGATACATTTTAAAGGATTCTTTGATGAATAGAAAGATTATTTGAAATAGAAATCTTTTTCAACATTATAAATGTCTTAATGTTTGATTGATTTAATGCATCATTGCCAAATAAAAGTATTTAAAAATTTTAAAAAGTACCTAAGTATTAAAAAGAAAAAAAATCTTGCTGACCCCAAACATTTGAATGGTGGTGTAGACCTTTTAAAAAGAACTAGCCAAGGAGCTGATGAAAATGGTGAAATAATAAATTGTGTTAGATATACACTATGGATATCCATGCCATTTTACATGATCTGAGTTCTCTCTAGTTGGAAAAAGATATCTGCACGCCTTCTAATGTAACTGTGGGCTACTACGTCTTGAGAGGGAAGTCCGTGTTGGTGGCCTCTGTTGTGATGGACACATTAGCTTCCTATGGTTTCGACAAGCTATTGAATGACATCAGAGAGTATGTTCCTGTGGTGTTGGCCATCCCCAATCCTGTGGCCCCCTGGCTGCCCAGCCTCGGCATCCACCTGCAGCTCAAAACGGGTAAGATTCTTTTCCAACTGGAGTTTGTTGGAAAATCTGACTGGAAATGATATGTCTGACCAGCTTTATGCTGTAGCCCCTTTGTTTACCCTTTATCTACATTACATATTCAGCCAGTCTTAAGCCCACAGCCATTTATTGTTGAAACTTGGTAACTAGAATGATTGGTAACTGGAATGTGGAATCTGTTTTTGTTTAACAGTTTATTGTTTTCCTACATTTAGTTCTCAGGTTTGTCGGACCAACAGATAACATCAAGTCTTGCGGGTTCATCCAAATGATGGAGCAACGATTGGAAAATGTGTTTGCTGAGGCGCAGGAGAAAGTGGAGGACTCTTATGGGACTCTTTCTGTTGAGGTAGTTTTTCAATTGAACTTGAAAACAAAGTTTGATAAATGGCTTATCTTCAGAGGTCTGATAACGCCGTTCCTCTGAGGACTCGTTTGTTGGATTTGGATTTATAGTTTGTTTGTGTTTTCGGACAGATTCTGAACACGTATCAAACGGGGAATTCTTTGGCAGTCACTCTGGTGTATGTGGTGTGGAACGGTAGCACTCCGTTGAACGGTACTGTGTCCAGTGGTCTCCTTAACCAGCTCACTGCCGAGCTGGTGGGCTACTTTCTCTTCTTCCCCCCTCTGATCAACGCTGAGCGTAAGTTTCAGCTTGTGTTTACCGCTTGATGTTACTTGCTGCACGGCTTGTGTTTACATGTTAATGCACATTGAAATGGTAGTTCGTGTTTATTTCTGTTTGAATCCATGAGTTTGTTTTCCTTGAGGCAGAGATCCTCAGTTTTGGTTGATCCAAAAGACATTTTCCAAGGACTCATAACATTCTCCTTTTTTGATGGGTAGTTGATATGAAAAACTTTTGGGAAGTTGACTTGTTCTGCTGGGTGACATGCTATACTCCATCTAAAACCATTTTAAACAGCTATTTTTTTCCTGTTTTATTATTATTATTATTTGATATCAGTATTGTGATAATAATCTCACCTTAAAAGTCCAGATGTGCTTCAAATGAAATCATGTATATATGAATGAAATATAATGTAGATTCACATTAATATGATTATTAATTATAATGAATAAAGTTGATATAATAATTAATAATAAATGAAATATCTGTGCATTTAATATTATATTTATATTCAATATTATTTTTTTAATTCAGGTTTTTTTGTAACATATAATCATCGATTATTAATATGTTATATATAATTATTAAAAATAGAATATAAAAGAAAACAATATATTATATATAATTAATGTAATTTTTTATTTAATGAATATTATGTTAATATTCAATATTCGCTTTTTTATTCAAGTTTTTTTTATTAAAGTAAAATATAATTTTATCAAATATAACAAAGAATGTATAAATAAAATGCCTGTGTGCCATGGATAAGAAAATATATTTTGTAAAATTTTTTAAATACATAATTATATTACATTTTTTTTATCTTATTTTCAAATCTTACTCTCAGTAAACATTTTATCTTAAGTATGCACATTAAAAAATAATGTCCCACGATCATTTGGCAATAATTGATCTGCTTATTTTATGTATTTGACTGATAGGATAACAAAAAAAAAAAAATCACATTTATCCTCGCCAATGAATGATGACAACATTTAGTTTTGTTTTGTTTTTCCCAGAATGGTCTTCTAGTAAACATCTGTCTGTCTTTCTCACTCTTTTCACAGCTCTAGAGTACCACAACCTTAACACTTCAGTAGCAACCCGAGATTACTGGGTAATCACAGGTAATTACCTCAACAGTTCAGCTACTAACCAGCACCCAGACAACCATTTGCCAGCATGTTATTGTGATTAAGTCTAGCTAATGTTTTCTCCCTGCTTCTTTTAAACACAGAGAGCCTTCTTCTCTGAGGAGTGCTATTGATGTATTATTTAGCTTCCTCCATCAACTGATTTGAGATCACATTGGATCAGAATATTGAGTGTGAAAAAGCTATTTCTAGCTCTAAGTTCTTGCACTCAATGTTCTCTCTGTTGCTTTAGCTAGCTCTTCCTCCCCCTTCTTTCCCCCGTTCATCCCTATTTATCACTGTCAGGAGAACAAATCCTTTTACCAAGGTCAATTCTGTAGTAATTGCAGTTTTTTTTAGACTTAAAGTGTAAGAAAGGTATGTTCTCTTTGTCACCTTGCTTCATCTCTCTCTCTGTCATTCTCTCTCTCTCCAGTAATTCAGGACGTTGACAGCTCTTCTCTTGAGGGGAGTTATCAGAGCTTTGCTAGTCTAATGGAGCAGCGCCTGGCGGAGCTCTTTCTGGTTGCCAGTCGACGTGGCCTCCGCTTCAGGAGAGCCACGACTGTAGGCGATTACACTGTCCAGGTGTGCCATCAGTTTGTTCTATGCCTGTAGTTTTCTTGTCCTGAGAAACAGACCAAATATTTTGATGACTCATCCTGCACTACACAGGTTTTTGTCCAATCAAATGCTCTAGACTAGAGTGAGCCCCGCCCCCAGTACAACCAATTAGCAAGTGGCAAAATGTGTTCATGGCTGCGACATACTGTGATAAAAGCTTATTTATTCATTAAAACGGTGGGTGGGGAGTATGTTACTCATTTTGAATGCAAAGAGGTTAGCCAATCATAAAGCTGTCATTTGCATAGACATCTGTTTTCTACATTTCTACATGGAATTCAAGTGGAAAAAATGTGACAAATGTGTAGAGCATGGCCCATTTAAAACTGAAAATTGCCCTCGTGTCCGATTCAGTGTGTAGTTTAGAATTTCTAAAGTTTGTATTGGAAACATCAAACATGAACTCAGAGTGTTTTCCTCATACAGATGGTCAGCATCCGACGACTGTCTGGTCCTAAGAACCCAGCTGAAATGACCTACTACATACAAGTAGATGGCTCTCCCATAACTGGCACTGCTGCAGCTAAGACCCTCAACATGGTGGACTCTCAAACCATGGCTCTCTCTCTGGGCTACTTCGTCCAAGTTCAAGCAGAGTGTATGTATATAATTTACTCGTCTAGCTCAGTTTATTTTCGAACCATCATTTAGATTCTAAGTACAGGAAAAATTATGCTTTTGTGAGTGTTTACTGTCTATCCTATCTAGAACTACTGTATTTCTGTCATGACAACTCTCGGAGGGATTGGCATGGTAATGTACAATGCAATGTTAATGTATTTGGTCTTGGTGGAATAGATCTGCTACGCTGCTGCTGCTTCTGCGGCAGAGCAAGTACCGAGACTTGCTACTGCTAATACTTCCACAACATGCTGCTGTGAGCATGTAAGAAATATTGCTGCTGCAAAAATAACATGCATGAAATAATGAATCACCTCGTAGCAGATCTATACAGGTGGAGCTGGGGAAGGTGGAGGGTTTCTGAAGCAAGCTGCAACTGCTACGGCAGCACTAGTCATATATTTAA